TTTTCAGCTTGTAGTAACTACAGCAAATGATGGTCTGCACCCTCTGTGCCCCTGATCGAGGTGTTGCTATCAGGTGTGCGAGGAAGAGAGGGCACCGTGGGTCTAAACACCACCCCTTCGACCCAACAAAGTTTTTAGGTATTTGCACGGTCATCAAGAGCACACAGAAGAAGAAAAGGCAGCCCAGGAAGGGTGGAAGGCAAGAATGGAGTCCAGTCCCCCAGTACTGCCTAACGTCTGTCTTCCCTTGGAGGTGATAGCGGAGGATGCTTCTACCAAGGACAGCACATAGGGTTTGGTGGTGTGGGAAGAAGGAGGGCTGTGGAAAGAGTAGTAACGAGTAGATCGGGTCGTTATCCACGGGGTCACCTACAAGAACGGCCCCGAGGCTGGTGGTGTGTGCTGAGAGTGCAGCTCCTGGGCAGGAGTGCCCTGTCCTACATGGATGCAGGACAATGCCTGATGTCCTGCCTCCTTGGGTAGGCAGCCATGAAGTGCAGTAGGCAATGGGAAATCTCTGGAGGTGATTAAATCAAGCTGTATTAAGAAAAAAACCCCAACATGATGCAGTGAAAATGCCCAATATTTAATCCAGGGTTGGTACATATCCTCCCCAGTTTTAAAAAAAAATCTGCTAAAATTGAATGCTGCTATGAAAGAAGTGCTGGAGATGCAGAACACGCTCCATGTGGGTATTTCTTTGGGGAAGGTGGTGAAGAAAGCTGTTCCTTCTCTTGTCTTCTTGATGAATTCTCTTCTGCACCCTGCAGAGCTTTTGTAGTACAAGGTCTATGGCATAGTTGGGAATTTCTGTGCTAAAGTTTGTTTAGCAAGGTAGTGGTGGGTTTACTTTCCTGAGCCTAGCTGGTGGTGCAGGCAAAGGTTCGCTTCATAAATTCACCTCGGATCTCATGTGTGACCTTGAGCAAGTTAATGCATAGCTCTGTCAACATCAAGCCTTCATGCATTATAAATCAGTCCTATGAAAACAAATAGATCGCCTGAACTATAATGAGATTTCTGAGAACAATGCCCTGGGGACGATTTTTACTGGACTCTCATTTTTGCCTTGTAAGCAATATAAACATCTTGTCTTTTCTCTTCTGCAGTTTCCTGAGTCGATGCAGAGATTCTCAGTCATATGAACCTAGAAGTTGTTGCTATAAGACTAAATTGCAGAAGTGGGTAAGAGTATTGCAGTATACATTGCCATGAAGAGCAATTGAAGTGAGCATTGAAGTATACATTGAAGTATAGCGAAATGATGATGGGAAAAGAACCCTATCAGCCTTACCCAAATCTTGCAGAGCTCTCCACATGAATTTTAGGTTTTAAAGCTTCTTTTAGTCTCATTGTTACAGCGTATATATGTATTGTTGAGTCATTCCATCTTGCAGAGCTCTCCACATGACTTTTAGGTTTTAAAGCTTTAAAGCGTATATATGTATTGTTGAGTCATTCTGGAACAGATAGTTTCGTCTTGTCTGTCATTTGAAGTATTGATTGAGTTTTCAGGCTCTCTGCAAATAAATTCAACTTCCATGCTACATAAATTCTTACAGGTTCTTACTCTTTTTCATGTATTGAGTGTAGTTGTGCATAGCTTTATTCATTTCTTTGCTTGAGTTTTTGAGCTACGCTGGGAACATTTTCAGAAATAGGTAAGAGATGCAGCACCATTAATTTTCTTATGCTGGCTTGTTGGGTCTCATTCTCCAGTGCCCTTACATCTGTGTCATGTGACTACTGCTTAGTATTGCTCTGTACGTCCTGGCCCAACTGCTTCACTCCTGGAAGTAAAAACCCAAAGTAACTCTATGGACTTCTGTGTAGAGACTTTGGCTTTCCATTCGTGCTGATGAGGCCAAACACTTCATAGAGTGCCTCTAAGTGTAAGTAAGAAACAGGTAATGGGAAATCAACTCCATCGTTTCCCTTTCCTGTGCACTTTGGGTCAAATTCTCTCTTCATTTTTCCTTAGCACAGTTGAAAAGCAGCTCAGCTGAATCCCCAGGACTGTGACAAAAACTGATATAAGCAGTGGAAGTGATAAGCTATTGTGGACTCTATTGTTTGCATTGTTCCAGAGGGCTGTAGCTGAGTTGATGGACCATTGCTTTTTGTGTATTCGTTCTTTATTATCATTATTAAAAGAGAAACATTAACAAAACACGATGTAGACCATATTCAGAAGTCTGTCTTCTGCCATCTGCTCACTTAAAAAACAAAATTGGAGAACTTTGGAATGAGGATGACATTGCAAAGCAGTAAAAAGATGAGAGAAAGTCTTAGTTAAAAGAAAAACAGAAGGTTTAATGTCACTTATGGAACAGTGCAGGATTCCTGGTAGAATAAAAGAGAGGAGTACTTTAAACTTATGTTCAGAGGCTTGAATGTGACTTAAATTACATTCTTCTGGCTAAAGTGTCAGGACGTCTTTTCCTGTAAGAGTCAACATAAGAGCAGGACCAACTGCTTCTGGCTTCGGTTGTACCAAAACCAGTTCACCATTAAATTTGTGCCTTCACATATTCTACATATGTTTAATTTTTTTTTGTGAGTGGTAGAAAGTGCCCAGCATTTCAAATGCGCTGTTGCAGAGCTCTGGAAATGAGAGCCTGTTAAGCCTTTCTCATCTCCACCTCCTACATAGCAATATGGTCTGCAGGCCGAGCAGATATGTGTGGCAGGTTTGCAAGGGTGCTGCTGGCTTTGTCCAAATATGCCCTCACTCGGCCTCCCCAGGACCCTACTGAGGGTGGACTGAAGTGATGTCTGTGAACCTTTTAGCCTTAGCCAAAAGTCTGCTCCAGCAGGAAAGTGATGTGTTGGATGTTTCGCAGGGTGCCTTGTAGTAACACGGGCCCTACAAGTTTTAGGACTTTTCCAATACCCCACTCTAAGCCAAACTAAATTTTAGCAAAGAACAGGACCATTGCATATTTTTTGTTCCATCCATGTAACACTGACAAGGTGAAATATAGAAGCTTGGTTTTGTGACCCTCAGTCATCTCTGAAATGAATTATTTTCTTAATACTTGAGAGTTGGTAAAATTTGCACCAAATCGATCGCCCCTTCCCAACCACAACCCTCATCGCATGTATGTAAAAGCAGTTTTACAGGCAGCGGGCTGACCTTTCGACCTTTCGTTTTACAAATCCTGGTCCTCACTCTAGCTGTGCCAAGAGCAGCACTCGGGTGAATCAAATCTGTATCAAAGTTTTACGAGAGCTGCTGGCCGTTCCCATCCAGTTCTTTCACGTTTCCTCTGTATGGCTCATTATCCTATACCAAATACACTTCAACCTCTCGTTCTCCAAAATCTAGCCCAAATCTTAACTTGGAAAATATCCAGGTCAATGGGAGACATACCTCTCCCAGCGTACTTCTACGTCTTTGTCCCACTGCATTTCATCTTTTAAAGCCCAATTTGATCAGTAATAAACTGACCTACCTAACTCTTTATTTGGAGAAAGTCCTCATTTTCCAAACCCTAATCCTAATTGTCCTCCTGGCCAGAATATAACCCAAGAAAAGTTTATCTATGATAAAACAAAAACCCCATACTCTTTTCAACTAACTCCCTCATTTCAAAATCCCCAATTTCTTCAGAAATGGGCCTTTTTGGCTAAATGGGGATCTGGTGGGTTACTTGCAGCCAGCTGCCAGAGCATCCCTGGGGGCTTGCTGGCCTGTGCAGCATCAGACACAGGGCATGGGGACCTCGGTGGGGACGTATTCCCCGTGGACTCACCTTCCGTGCCGCCTGCTTCAGCTCCTGTTGGATGTCGGGGAGGAGGAATCCATAGAAGCCCTCTTCATCAGCTCCTCTCAGGCCCAGCCCACTGGCGTGGTGCTGGAAGAGGGGAAAAGAAGGCATGTGTTGGGGGGTGTCAGTGGTGTGGCACTGGGGACCGGGAGGTGTCGAGCCCTGGGGACTCAAGAAGGACTTCTTGTGGATGCAGAGCCTGTCGTGCCAACATGACTGCCCAATGACCTTGGGTCGCAGTCAGCAGCTGGCACAACTCGCACACTGCCAGGGGACGGCAGCACCGTCACCCCCAGCACCACACTGGTGTGCCAGTGGGGGTAATGCTGGGAGCAGGAGCGGGGAGAGGCCAGATCATCTTGGCATGGTGCGGGGGACTCTGCTTGCACTGGCCAAAATCCCCTCTGGCAGGTGCCGGGGGGAATGCTCTGTGTTCACCTTCCTCCTTGGGGACCTGACACTTCATTTTTAGGGGAGAGGCACGCAGGAGCATCCTGCCTGCTCCTCTGGCAGCACTGTGGGACAGTGGTCGGGGGTGCTGTGGCACCCTGCAGCGCCAGGACCTCAGCTCCATCACGGCAGGGGGCTGTAGTGAAGCAGATGGCTGGGCATGGGGATGTCAGTGCAGTTGAAGACCATCCAGTGTTGGGGCAAACACATCACTAAGCTGGTGGAGGATGCCCAGGGAGGCTGCCTGGCCTGGGGGTTTGTGACCTGGTTCTCCACATGCGGTGCGAGAAGGGCCCTGAGAAACAGGCAACCCCCAGGCAAGATACTGGTGTCACCCCATGGGGACGTTTGGGTCATGCTGGGGGGCAGGACCTGAGCCTGGGCTGGGGCTGGGGAAGCACTGTGGTGGCTGCTGTGCAGCCAAGGCCACCCTGCCCAGGGGCAAGCAGTGAAACTGGGGAGTGGGGAGGGCAAGGGGGGCCCATAGGTCCCTTCTCTCATGTCAGGGCTTCAGCAGGGACTTCAGAGACACCCAAAGGGTTTGGTAATCCAAAGACTTTATTTATGCAACAAAACTCTTGACTTCTCATTAACAGGCATTTTTATATCTTTTAAATCTTTTTTGTATTTTCACTGTCTTAGCAAACAAAATTTCATTTAACAAACATATGCCAATTAGAATAAATTTTCCAGTTGAAGAGGGATGCAGCTCAAGCACTCTTTTACGCGTCTGGTGCCGGGGGGCTGAGCCCGCTGCTCTGGGGTGGCAGCGAGGAAGGGTCACTGCTCCTGCATCTGGAAGTGCTTCAGATGCGCCTTCACCCAGGGGTCCTGAGGGTCCGTGCATATCTCCCTCCCGTTCTTGGTGACCAGGCTGCCGACAGAAAATGAATGTTGGGGTGTTCGGCTGGGGCGATGGGGTGCCTGTGCTGGTTCCCACTGGCAGCGCCCCGCGTGTCCCTGGGCTTGCCCCTTTCCCCCTCCTGGCCGCCCTCAGACACACTTGGGGTGCTGCTCTGGCCATCCCACCCCAACGCCTGGCAGTGTTGGGTACTCACATCACTGCTGGCTGGGAGCATCTGCTGCTGGAGGTGTAGGCAGAGGTGATGAGTCTGCGTGGGACAGGTCGGTGCTGGTATGTGAAGCAGCAGGTGATGGGGACGGTGTCTGTGGGGGCAGAGAGACAGCCCCAGTGAGACCCCACGCTGTGGCAGAGGGTCTGCCTGGGGCTTCCAGGGGATTTGCCATCACCTGTGCTCTATTCCCCAGGGAGTCCCCCTGAAAGCCTCCATCCCTGAGGCTGAGTCCCAGCCCCAGTGATGACAACTTGCTCCCAGCCCTCCCCATAGACACGAAGGTCCCATCAATGGGAACAGGGCTCTTTCCCGGGGAGGGATCACAAACCTGGCTTCTGGGAGGACGCAGCAACACCGGAGTCACCAAGATGGGCCTCAGCTGGGGAGCAGAGCGCCACGAGGAGCAGAGTGGCCAGGGCGGCTGCGGGGACCTTCATGGTGCTGTGGGGGCTGAGGAAACCGTGCATGGGGCAGGAGGTGGGGTGGCTGCAGGCCTCTCCTCCACACGGTGCTTGGCCCCTGCTGCCGCTGTCCTCCTTTTATTCCCTGGCTGCTGGGGGGGTGCAGGGTTTCAAGGAAAGAAAATGATTGCATCACACCAGGGAAGTTATGCCAGGATTGCCCAGTTTTGCTGAGCTGGAGATGGCAAGGAAACCGCAGAAGGGGAAGCACCGGCCATGGGGCTGTGACTTTCAGATTCAAGAGAGAACAAACCTTACGAGGAGCGGCTGAGGGAACAGGGGTTATTTAAGCTGGAGAAAAGGAGGCCGAGGGGAGGCTGTGTTGGTCTATAGAACTACCTGAAAGGAGGTTGTAGCGAGGTGGGGGTTCATCTCTTCTCCCAAGTAACAAGCAACAGGACAAGAAGAAATGGCCTCAAGTTGTGCTGTTTTGGGGAGGTTTAGATTGGATATTAGGAAAAATTTCTTCACCAAAAGGGTTATCAAGCTCTGGAACAGGCTGCCCAGGGAAGTAGTTGAGTCACCATCCCTGGAGGTATTTAAAAGATGTGTAGACATGGCACTTAGGGACATGGATTAGTGGTGGACTTGGTAGTGTTAGGTTAACGGCTGGACTCAGTGATCTTAAGGGTCTTTTCCAACCTAAATGATTCTATGATTTTATTCTGTGACCTTCATGGTGCTGCAGGGGCCAAGGGAACCACAAGTGGGGCTGGAGCTGGGGTGGCTGTAGGGCTCTCTGCATGATGCTCGGCCCCTGCTGCTGCTGCCCCCCTTTTGTCCCCCTGGAGTTCCAAGGACAGAAAATGATTGCATCACACCAGGGAAATTATGCCAGGATTGCCCAGTTTTGCTGAGCTGGAGACGGCAAGGAAACCACAGAAGGGGAAGTGCCGGCCATGGGGCTGCAACTTTCAGATTCCATTTGGGTGCTTGGCACGAATTGGCCAGAGCCCAAACCCCTGTGCCACCAACCCTGCTGCTGCGGCAATGACCCTGCTGGTCATGAGCCAGGCTGAGGCACGAAACTGCCTGGCCAAGAGCCCTCAGAAAAATCATGGCAATGCCAGAAAAAGGAAAAAAAAAGAAGGAAGTAGCAAGTTTTGCAGCTTGATTTCTGCATGCAATAGTTGGGGCATTCAGGAATTACCCTCTGGCATTACAAATGCTACCTCTTTTCAGTCATGCTACGATCTCCACAGGGTTTCATCTGCAAGGCTGCAATGAGCTTGATATCAGTGGGCACCAGCAGAATCCTCTCCTCGCTCCAGATCCTACTCATAATGCCCTGTCTCCTCCCTGACACCAGTGACACCAGAGACCTGGGTCTGTTTAGCTTGGAGAACAGAAGACAGAGGGGATCTCATCAATGCTTATAAATATCTAAAAGGCAGGTGTCAAGAGGATGGGGCCAGACTTTTCAGTGGTGTCCAGTGGCAGGACAAGAGGCAATGGGCACAAACTGGAACAGAGGAAATTCTGTCGGAAGATAAGGAGAAACTTCTTTACTTTGAGGGTGGCAGAGCACTGGAACAGGCTGCCCACAGAGGCTGTGGAGTCTCCTCCGGAGATGTTCAAAACCTGCCTGGATGTATTCCTGTCCAACCTGCTCTAGGTGACCCTGCTTTGGCAGGGGTTTTGGACCAGATGATCTCCAAAGGTTCCTTCCAACCCCCATGATTCTGTGATTCTGTGATTTCTTTTTTTTTTGGCTAAGACAGTAGAGAGAGCCTAAATTGGAGGAATTTATCCTGCTTGGGAAGAAGTGCGCAGTAATTGCAACAACTTGACTGTGCAGGGACTGCAGACCAGAGCCAAAACTAAAATCCTTAGTCAGAGAGGTGTAAATCTGTTCACCCTGGGGACAGGGAGGGTGGCAGGCCAGGTTTGAGCCTGAGACCACCATTCCAGCCCTGGAGCAGGCCAACAGAGTCCAGTCACAGAATCATTGAATCCTAGGATGGTTTGGGTTGGAAGGGACCTTCAAGATCATCTAGTTCCAACCCTGCTGCCATGGGCAGGGACACCTTCCACTAGACCAGGTTACTCAAAACCCCATCCAACCTGGCCTTGAACATTTCCAGGGATGGGGCATCCACAGGTTCTCTGGGCAACCTCTGCCAGTGCCTCACCACTCTCTCTGTAAAGAATTTCTTCCTAATATCTGATCTAAACCTAGCATCTTTCAGTTTAAACTGTTACCTTATCCTGTCACTAGACTTCCTGATAAAGAGTCCCTCTCCGTCTTTCCTGTAGGCTTTCTTTAAATACAGGAATGCTCCTATAAGGTCTTCCCGGGGCCTTCTCCTCTCCAGGCTGAACAACCCCAACCCTCTCAGCCTGTATTCTTAGGAGAGGTGCTCCAGCCCTCTGATCATCTTTGTGGCCCTCCTCTGGACCTGCTCCAACAGGTCCATGTCTTCACTGTGCTGATGCCTCCAGAGCTGCATGCAGTACTCCAGGTGGGGTCTCACCAGAGTGGAGTAGAGGGGCAGAATCATCTCCCCCGACCTGCTGGCCACACTTCTTTTGAGGCAGCCTGGGATACGATTGCATCACCAGTTGCAATTTAGTTGGTAGCTGAAAACTGAGAAACAATTGTATTTGCACAATTCCATCACCCGTTTAGGTTTTTGAGGTATGCAACATCCATCAATTTAAATTCATAAAGTTTTAATTTCCCTCTTTGCTCATATCTCAAGCCTGAGCTACATGATTTATACTTTATCAGATTTTAATATAATTATCAGCTCTTTCCGTCACTCCTTCTCTGTCTTTGTTTTCTTTGTTTCTGAGGCTTAGGAGATCCACGAATAATGCAAGTTCTGCTTTTCCGGTTCTCTTTGTTCCTACTCTTGTCCTTAAATGTAACTCCAGCTGTAGCCTTAAATATGAACTGAACAGATCCATTGTCGCTCCTCACTGATCTTTAGTTTTGCAAATATGCATAATCTACCAGGGAAATGAAATTGCTGATGTTTAATTTCCCAAAGTATAATATATACTATAAGAAAGACCTAACTTGTATTATGGCAACTCTGTACGTATTTGAAAATATATTCCATTGCTGTATTTGCGGTCAGCGCTCCGCTCTGTGCTGTTGTGGTCTCAGTAACTTGGATTCTGCTAACTTTCTGCCTACTTCTCTATATTTAAAGGCATGGAAAGGTCTTACACATATTTAACAGACTCTTGAACATAATCTCGGGACTGCTATAAAGACCAAAAAATGAATATAGCTACAAGTATCTGCAGACCTTGATTTTATCCTTGGTTTGTAAGTCTGCGGTACCCCAACAATATATCCAAATCATAAATTCATATTTTCCTAAATTTTTCACTAGATAACAGCACAAGCCAAAGCCTGAGCTAGGTAACCCGTAACTGTTCTGAAATTGATTTAATTACTTGAATATAATATACCTTTGTTTCTGCTGAGAACATCCAACAGCAACCAATTATGCCCTACTACTCCTCTTTAAGCTAACACTAATTGTAAACCACCACTAACAATCTCCTTAAACATCCCCTTTCTTGTCTGTCCTGGTAAAAAGAAGGGCATGTACACTTGTCTTTTGGTTCTAATTTAAATAAATGTAGGACATTTTTATGTAGGGAGGGTAAATAATTTTGAAATTCCATTATCTGGGTTTTTTTTTTTTTCCTTTGTTTGTAGTCTGCTTTTGAGGTCATGCTCCCTTTTAGTTAAGATAAAAGCTACCCTTTGACTGACCTTTTATCTTCATTGAGATAATATAATAAATAGATCATTTGTGCTTATCTAAATTGGTCAAGTGTGTCCAAACTATAAAAGCAATAATAATTGGTGCTTGGCTATAATATATATGTATAGTTATAGTCTTGTTCACAAAGACGCACTACAAATGTCAATGAAAGTTTGAGAATGACAAGCAATAATGAATCCCAAACTTCTTGATTAAGATTAGTTATTGGGTACCTATTATATCTGTGCTATAATTATGATTTTCCTCATTTACAAGAAGATTAATCTAGATCCCAACACTATTTAGTGCTTTGGTGAATTGACCACATAGTAGCAGGTATCTTGGGCAAGTGCTCAGTCAAAGACTAACTTCCTTCCTTACCTGTTTGGAAGAGAAACAATAGTATAATACCTTTTTAAAGAAAGTAGCAGCAAAGACGAAAAATAAGCTGAGGTACTGTCTAATTCAAAAGTGCCCCCAGTTACAGATTTCTGTACAGTTGCTCTCATCTGTGAAGTCTAACATTTTCTACTTTCTGGCTGGGTTTTTTTTGTTTGGTTGGTTGGTTGGTTTTGGGGTTTTTTAGCAGCCTGCCTTATATCTATAAAAACTTCACAATATTATGATTATTAAATATTACAGAGTAGAAATATAGGAATGTATAAATGGGTCTCTAAAATAGTCAAGGTTTGCCTGTAGCTTCATCTGAGATACCACAGTACCTTTGCATACCAAGGTAAGTCCTGGTACATTGCCTATTTCTGACAGTGGGTAAATAACGCCGTTTTGGCCTTAACCACTCTAGATTTCACATCGTGATTTTTCCCTTTGGTTTTATGTGTTAAATAATAGAGTTTAGCCAAGGATGATCTAAGATAACAGGAGATCCTCTGTCCACAGGTTAAAATCAGCTGTCTTGTAGAGACAGAGTATACAGGCTCCCTAAATGACAAGATTTGGTCCCAAAGTGTAAGAAACGTGATGGGAAGGCAAAACGGGCTTGAAAGCATCTGTCTATCCCATTTTAATGGTGGCAGTGAACCAAAGTTCCCTGTGGTACAAATCACAACAGTTAGCTACAGCCTGATTTGTGAAGAGAGCCACAAATGTACCTTAACAGTATGTATAATCCTATGGTCTCCACTTGCATCTGCAGGATTTTATTTATATTTTGGATTAGGTCTTAATAGTTCAAAATCTTTTTTTGGTCCCGTAAAGATCCAGGTCCATGCTGGTAAAACACTCTTGGGT